TATATCCACTTTTCCAGCAAACAATGTAGCTTTATTCTTCCTTATGGCAGTATCGAATTAAATTCCACTCTGTAATATGTTACATTTTCATTATCTATTCTTCTGTTGATGGACATGTAGGTTAAATGTATAACTTGGTCCTTGTGTGCATTGTTGAAATAACCATGAATGTACAAGTATCTTTGTAGTATGCTGATCTAAAATCCTTTGAGTATAGTGCTTATAGCTGGGTTACCTGATAGTTCTAATTTTAGTTTTGAGGAACTGATGTCCGTAACGAGTGTGTGTGTGTGTGTGTGTGTGTGTGTGTGTGTGTGTGTGTGCCTTCTTCCTAACATCCTTTCCAGCATTTGTTGTTGATTGCTATCATAATGGCAACCATTCTGGCTGGGGTGAGATAGAGTTGTATGTATTTTTCATTTCAGAAGTTTCACTTACAAAGGCATTGATGAAACTCTAAAGATCAATGTGCCTATCTGTACTAGTTAATGTGTCTTCAAATGTCATCCACAAGCATCTGCAGCAGATGCCTTAGATGCTTCTGTGCTATCTCAGCCCAATACAGGATTTTGAGAGGATGACAATCTGAGACTGTGCAGAAGTGATCCTTGTGGATGCCAATTCTAAAATGTCAGGAAAAAATCACTGTGCACTCAGTTTTCTGTTTCTATAACAGAACAGTTGAAGCTGAGTAACTTAAAGAACATAATTTATTTCCACGGAGTTCTAAGGTCTTGAAAGTTTCAGATCAAGGCACAGTATCTGTCTGATAAAAGCCTTCTTACTATTCTGCACACAGCAGGAAGCAGAAGGGCAAGAAAGAACTAATCCACTTCCACAAGCCTGGTTTGTTGTTGCTGCTGCTCATTTGTTTTGACCAGAATTAATTCATTCATGAAAGAAAAGCCTACATAACAAAGCACTTTCCAAAGACTCTACATGCTAACACTGTTGCATTGGGGATTAAGTTTCTAACACATGTAAACTATAGCACTAGCCAAAAATCATAATGAATAATACCTAGGCAGTCATGAATAATGAGATATTTCTAGGATTTGTGTGGAGAATACATAGTTTATTCTCTGTATGACAGTTGGCAGCACTGAACTGGATTCATTAAGCTAAATTCTTATAAGAGGAACTATTTCTTGTTCATTTGTGAATAGATGAACTATTTTATGTTCTATCTTGACACAGTTGTGTTTATTTTGGGTATACATGACAAATAATTAATAAAATGTTTTTAAGTGGATAAAACTAAATATTTTATAAACAATTGCATTTTCATAAATTTTGAAACATTCCATGCATTTTATAGGGGCAAGACAAGTGTCATAAATATAACTTTTTAGGTTTGTGTCATACTTGCATTTCATGATAATCAACCTCGTTTCTACAAAAATTAGTTTTCATAATTATATGCTAAAAGTCTAAGTCTGTTTCCAAAATTAACAAATGCATCATGATTATGAGAAAATGAAAGCTTGTTTAATGAGACACCTAGAAGGAATGTAACTTTTCCTTAATTTTGATACTGTGAGAGAAAAAGATGTTGGAGGTTGGCAAGACTGCTCATCAATTAAGAGCACTTGCTGCTCTTGTAAAGGACCCAGGTTGGATTCCTAGTATCCACATGACAATGGCTCACAACTGTCTGTGATTCCAGCTCCAGGAGATCCAACACTCTCTTCTGGCCTCTACAGTGACACATATGGTGCACAGGCATACATGCTGTGCATAAAGTAAAATAAATACATCTTAAACTTTTAATTTTTAAAAATTGCCATTAAATGCTAAACGGAGTTGGCCAGGGGGGAAGGTACCTAGTCTGCAAGCAGAAATATTGCAGAACTACTCTATCTTCTAAAACAAATCTAGTGCTGAAAGTTATTTTTGAATTTATGAGAAAATTGAAGATAAAAATAGAGGTGAGAATAAAATTTTTAGGATATACTACAAAATAGTATTTTCTCCACCAGTCCTGGCAGATTATTCTGAAAAATATAATAAAATTAATGCTGTGGGACCGGTAAGGGAAGGCCTTTAAGTTTTCAGTTCACTCCTAGTTATTCTTTTGTTATTTGTATGAAAAGATGTGGCAATTGATACTTTTAAAGTAGAGCCTGAACCCATTTGTGTGAATCTGTGGCTCCTTTTCTAGTAATCTTTGACCATCTCTCCAAGATGTATAGGGAAACAAGATACACTAAGAGTTCTGGCTCATTGGTTCTCATTAAATAAGATTTTCCCACAGTTTGAACACTAAATGGGTCAATTTTGCTTCAATAGCTCAAGTCAGCAGCCATCTAGTCAAGGCAATACCGTGAGAAAATACTCAGTTTTGATGCTTTACATGCTTTCTAGTTCTTGATCTATGATCCTTACCCTTTTTCCTGGTCCAGAGAAGGATAGTGTTTTGTGAATGGAGGATTTTCCATCATTTTCCCTCCATCATTCATCAGTCTCCTGTTTTACAATCTCATAGCATCTCCTTCCTGGGAAATTTTAGTTCTTCCTATTATATTCCATCAGATGATGAAGAAAACTAAAGCCTGGGGAGATGGACCAGTAGGTAAAGTGCTTCTGCTCAAGCATGAGAACTTGAGTTTGGTTTGCCAGCACCCATAGAAAACTGACCATGGCCTAACTCTACCTATAAGCCCATTTCAGTTATTGCTGGGGACAAGGGATAAGCAGTTCCTGGGAGTTCACTAAGTAGACAGTCTAGCCAAAATGGTGAGCTCCATCGTCAGTGACACCTGATCAAAGAGTAAATTGAGGGACAATTGAGGATGACACCTGGCATCGACCATTGACCTCCAGGTGTCCCCACACAGGAGAGTACATTAGTGCACACACTTGGACAAACACACATATACCACACAGAGATAGGGTAGAAGTATGTATTTAAACACCACAAAGAATCCTACTACATTGTATGTTAACCTAAAGAGTTAATGAAGAGAAGATAAGAAATAGCAGAGGAGAGATTTTTCTTTTTAAATTTTACTTAGGTAGGTATGTGAGAATGCACATGGTCCCTTGGAGGCCAGAAGAGAGTATTGAAGTCCCTGGATCTAGAGTTTTGGGCAATTGTGAGCCACTGGATTTGGGTGCTGGGAACAAAACTCTAGTCCTTTACAAGAGCAGCAAGTATTCTAACTACTCTTTCGGACCAAATCCAGAGATATTCACATAACCACTGGTACTTTGACCTCATTTCACAACAATGAAGGGCATATTTTAATAATGGGGCTTAAGAGGTTAGAGAGATGGCTGATTAGTTAAAAGCACTGGCTGTTCTTCCAAAGAATGTAGGTTCAATTCCCAGCACCCACCTCAAGCAGTTTCTTATCACCTGGAACACCAGCTCCAGAGGATCTGATGTCTTCTTTTGGCCTTCCATGAATCCTGACATTTTCTCCCATATATATCAGAAAAGTATCTCAAACTCAGCAGGTACAAAGTGAAGACACTGGCTTTCTGCCCCAATTCTCCTCTCTTCCAGTCATCCAGGCTAATAGTTCCACCATCTACCCAGGTGTTCAAACACAAACATTCAACCCATGCTCAACTTTTGCCGCTAGTTCTATATCTAAATGTCTGAAGTTCATCTCCTTGATCAGACCTTACACCGTGCTGCACAGACTTCTGCAGTAGTTTTGTGACTGGTCTGCCCTTTTTGCTCTCTGTCTGTCTTCCAAAGACATGTTCACAAATAGCAAAAAGAGTCCTACTCAAATGTACATGAAGTCAACCCCCTCCTTAGATCACTTCCCAGTATCTCTGCTGTGCATTTAGAAAAAGTTTGAATGTTTTTCCTAATACAGCCTTCTTGGTCTAACTCTTATGTCTATTTCCTTAATCATTCTTCCTACAAACAAATACCAAGCACTTTGGCCCCATGTTGCTCATCTCTTTCTCTTTCATGATTTCTCATTGAGTGTTCTCTCTTACCAGAATGCATTCTCCAAACCCCTTAGTGCTACCGTTACCACCAAGTTTCTCTGACCTTCACCTTATTACAAAGGCTGGTGCCAAACATTCTGGTTATTCCAGATATATTTGCTGGATTTTCTGTGCAACTATCAAAAGGTAGAGTTGCTATTTGCCCCCTGGATCCTATGTAGAATGGGAGCCCCTGAAAGGCATATATTGCCTAAATCACTTGAGGCATGTGCCTCACAGAGCCACCTCATGAGCCAAATTGTCCCATGGAAGTGTTTCACGAAAAAATCCATGCATAGTGAATGTGTTTTGTGTGGCCTACTATAGCTAATGTTCCTATCATCACTTCTGCCAGCACAAGTTTGGTATTCAATAAAGATTATTTCCAATAAATAAATGACAAAGTAGTTGGGAAAATAAAAACTGAAAAGAAAAGCCAGCTTTAGCCATCAGGTGTCCTGTTCAAGGAAAATCTAGTCTCCTATAATTAAACAAAGGGTCCTTTCCCCTGGTCCTTCTCCTATCCTTCCAACCTTAGGATAAGGGACAACAGAACCATGAAGGGAAAGAAGGAAGTTGAAAAATGGATCCTACTGTCCTCCTTTAAGAAAAAGTCAATTTAGAAGACCACAGAATCAGCTGTCCTTTCCTTGTTTCTCTGTATCTTAAAAGGCCTCTCTGAGACTCCTGTCAGAAGAAATCTGGAACTTTCTTTATAAGAAAGCTGAAGGCTTTCTATAATTAGTACTTTTTTTTAGAAAATTGCAAAAAATCACCATATCTATTTAGCCTACTTCCTGAAATATTTTTTTCTGATTTTTCGAGATAAGGTCTCTTTGTGTAGCCCTGGGTCTCTCTGTATAGCCCTGGTTGACCTAGAAACTAGCTCTGTAGACCAGGCTGGCCTCCAACTCAGAGATCTGCATGCCTCTGCCTCCCAAGTTCTGGGATTAAAGGTATGAGCCACCACTCCCCAGCCTCCCTCCTTCCTTTTAACATTTCCAAGTAATTCAACAAAGCCATTTATTTTAAAAAGAAAAATGTGTCATGAAATTATTTTTAACTTTTATTAAAAATCCCAAGGAGAGATAGAAAGCTTATCCAGTTCATCTTTAATTAAATGAGAATCACAAGGCTCATAAAAGATTATTTATCACAAGGTCTTCTCTTCAAGATCTTGAAGATACTTCATTGCTATAAGCATCTCTCAGAAAGAGGGTGTCAGTCTGTTGATAGCATTCACAGATGAATTTCATCATGATTCCTTTTGAATAATTCAAAACTGTATCTGCATCTCAAAACAGAGATTTAAAATGGTGAAATGATGTAGATTGGCTGATTTTTTTAAAAATCAGGAAAGAACAGTTAATAAATAAATGCACAATTGGTTGATCAATTTAAGGTCCTGTTATAAAATAGCATAAATTTATTTCTCACACAAATTTATCAAAATTTCCTAGAATGGACTTTACTAGTTCCATACAGGAATTTGCTATATAAGAGATATGATTTTTAATACTTATTCCTCCATGTTGAAATGTACAAATTTCTTGTACTTAGATAATTGACTAACTCAATGCCTAGTGCATACATGATGGTAAATCAATAGGTATACACTAATGACTTTAAGTCAACAAATATATATTGAGTACACACCATATGCAAGGCAATATGCTAACTATTTGGGAATGCAACAATAACTAGGAGGACAGGCAATCACATTCAGTAAGTGAAATGATAGAGCTTGAAACTAAAGCCCCAAGTTCAAATCTTGCTTCTACCACTTAGTAACTGAATGCTCTTTTCAAGTTATTTTCTTTCCCTAAGAAACTAAAAGTATTATTTGCTTCATGAGGTGGTTTTAGCAAACAAGTGAGGTCACCATATAATAGAATTAACACATTATCTGACAAATTATAAGTGCTCCTCTAATCATGAGTTCTGACCCAAGTAACCACATAAATAAAGTTGGATGTGTTCTTGTAATTCAAGAAGTAGAGAAAGCAGGATATAGTGCTTGCTGGTCAGTCTAACCAAATGAGTGAACCCATGAATAGTGAGATACTCCATCTTTAAAAACTAAGGAGAGTGATGAAGGAGACTGAGGAAGATACCTTACATCAACCTCTTGCCTGGTGTTAGTAGGCACACGCCTTTAGTCCCAGCATTCAGGAGGCAGAGGGAGGCAGATCTCTGTGAGTTTGAGGCCAGCCTGGCCTACAGAGTGAGTTCCAGGACAGGCTCCAAAGCAATGCAGAGAAACCCTGTCTCGAAAAACAAAAAACAAAAACAACCTCTAGCCTCCACAGATTCCCTCACACATGAGCACACACATGCAGACATATATAAAAACAGAAAAAAATATGAAAGGATAGTATATGATTTGTGCATTTAAATTTTTATTATTAGGTTTTAGGATATGACTCAGTAACACAGGCTTCTCTAACCTATATGGAGCCTTGGATCCAATAAGTAGCACGGCATAAACTAGGTGTAGTGGTGCCAGCTGTAATCTCTGGAGGTGGGATGGGAAGAATTAGAACTTCAAGGCCATCTTTAGACACACAGTGAGTTCAAAGCCACACTGGATACATGAGACTGTACATGCATTCATGCAAGAGAGGGAGGGAGACAGACAGACAGACCTACAGACAGACAGAGATATTTGGGTTGGTGAAATGCACAATGGATAAAGGCACTTGTCTCCAACGACTTGAATTCTGTCTCTGGGACCTATATGGCAGGAAAGAACTGACTCTTGCAAATTGTCCTCTGATCTCCACATGCACATATGTGCCCTTCCCCTAAAAATAAATATATTAAATAAAATTTAAAGGTATACATACACATATATATTATTAAATGTATCTTCAATTCTGGTCCTTCATGTCCATGAGGGTTCTGCCAGACCTCTAAAGCAGAAAAACACATTAAGCAATTGCTACTGTTAAACTGAAAAGAGTTAGACTTTAAAAGAAGCACTTGGGATGCACATAAGACCTCACCAAGCCATGGCCATGGGAAAATTCTTACTCTCAAGATCTATCCCTAGCCAAGCCTATTTTGTCCAATAATAAAATTATCCAGAAAATTCAATTCAGCAAACATTGTCCAAATATAGTTATCGGTTGATCACCATGAAAGCTCATAACTAAAATAGGCAGAGTTTTTTTTTATTCAAGGATTATTGTAGCTCATGGGTTAACTAACTACTCTACCACTCAGTTTATTTCAAAATGTAGACTACATATCCATATTTATCATCTTTAGAATCGAGATGCATCGCTCAATCAATGGCAATTTATAACTGCTATGAGCCAGGTGACATTCATGATGTAGTTGCTAATGCCTGAGTTACTTATTTATTGCCATATAACAAATTACTCCATAATTTGGTACATAAAGACAACAGTGTTTATTATCTCAAAGATTTTGCAGATCAGTAATATGAGCATGGTTTAGCTGGATCTTTTGGTTACAGAAATTCTCACAGGTTACGATTGAGCTGTTTTTTAGGAATGTGATTATCTTTGAGATTTAACTGGAGCTGGACTTGTTTCCAAGCTTGCTCAAGCTGTTGGATGGATTCAATTTGTCCTGACCTGTTGGAATAAGGTGTTTGTTACTCATGAGCCAGAGACTTCCCTTATTTCCTTTCCTAGTGTTCTCTTTAGCCAGGGGTGGTAGTTCATGCCTTTAATCGCAGCACTAGGTAAGCAGAGCCAACAGGATCTCTGTGAGTTTAAGGCCAGTCTAATCTACAGAGTGAGTTCTAAACCAGCCAGGACTATGTAGCAAGATTACCTAAAACATAAAAACCTAATGGTCGTATTGCTTGGAGAAAATGTGTGTGCACAGATTCACACAGGATGCAAGGAGTGAGATGGCCAATAAGAAATCAGAGCCTGCTGTGAACTAATGTCAGAAATATTTTCTCACTATATTTGCCCAATTCTAACCATCAGCAGCAAGTCACTATGTCTAACCCATGCTCTAAGGGAGGAGTCACACAAGAATATCAAGAGCCAAAGAGCTTTAGGAACTATTTTAGAAGCTCTCCAACATGCTTGGCTGTGACTATGGAGTTTAGTTTATTTCGAGGTGTATAACTGGGCCTTTGAGGTCTCAGTCAACAAACCATTCCAGGAGAACTTGAGAAAAGAAAGTGAATGTTAGGAATCTGAAAATGTTTTGTCAGATCTCTAACTAGCAGAATTTGGATTTCAGGGTCCTGGAAGAAAGTCTAGACACATTAGTGAAGAACACCTAAGAGCAATGTTTCAGCTCTGACTCTGGCAATAAGACAAAACAACATGGTAAAAGATGGGCAATGATGATTCCAATGGCAAATGACACTGAAAAGCAAGGCCATAAATGAAAGAAGTAATAAGAAGACCTCAACCATTATAGGCCATGTGTATTTTTCATTTTATGACTATATACCAAAAATCCATTTCTAAGTAAATGAAAAACAGTTATATTAATTACATTAAAATAAGGGGTAGAGGATAAAGTTTACTTAGTAGAGCACTTGCCTAGCATGCATGAAGCCCTGAGTCCCATACCCAGCACCACAAAAAAGAGCATGATAGTACCTAACTGCAATCCCAGCACTTAAGAGGCAGAGCCTGGAGGATCAGGAGCTCATGGTCAGCGTCAGCTGTACAGAACTGGGTCAACTGGGATACATAAGACCTTATCTCAAACTTTTTTTAATTAAATAATGTCAGAAGTATCTTGCCAGTTTAATTGGCAACATTTTTTATTTTAAAATCCTATGTGAAATAACTCATGATGAAGACCTTAAACTCAGCATAATGAATAATAATTAAAAACAGAAGTAAACTGTCTCTGTTTATGGGGTTTTTAATATACCAGAGAGTCTGCTATCTAGTTGTTTTAGTTAGGATTCCATTGTCGTGAATCCAACACCATGGAATCCAATGCCAATGCAATGGCAACTCTTATAAAGGAAAATATTTAATTGGGGCTGTGTCTTAGTTAGAATTTCTATTCCTGTAAAGAGACACCATGACCATGGCAACACTTATAAAAGAAATCATTTAATTGGTGCTGGCTTGCAATTCAGAAGTTTAGTGCATCATGGCAGGAAGCATGACAGTACACAGGCAAACATGGTGCTGGAGAGGTAGCTGAGAGTTTTGTATCTGGATTGGTAGGCAACAGGAACAGAGTGAGACACTGAGCCTGGCTTGAGCATCCGAGACCTCAAAGCCCACCCCCAATGACAGACTTCCTTCAACAAGGCCACCCCTACTCCAACAAGGCTGTACCTCCTAATAGTGCTACTCCCTAGGAACCTATGGGGGCCATTTTCATCAAACCACCACACTAATCAAGATGTGACATCTGTGGATAACACAGTTAAGAAATAGCTCCCTGAAAATCCAATAAAGCTCTTTTTCATCATGCCTTCTCAGCAACATGCAGCTGAATATCTTCTTCCTAGCCACCAGCTGTCAGAAACTCATTGAGTGGACAAAAGAAGGCAAGCTTTGCACTTCCTATAAGAAGTGCATGGCCTCAGAAGTCACTGCTGATGCACTGGTTGAAGAATGGAAGGGTTATGTAGTCCGAGTCAGTAGTGGAAATGACAATCACAGTTTTACCATGAAGCAGGCATCTTGACTCATGCAGAGTGTGCCTGCTGTTGAGTAAGGAGCATGCCTGTTATAGACCAAGGAGAACTGGAGTGAGGGAGCGCAAGAGTGTTCAAGAATTCATTGTGGGTGCCAAACTGAGTGTTTTCAAGTTGGTTAGTGTAAAAAATGGAGAAAAGGATATTCCTGGACTGACAGATACTGCTGTGCCTTATTGGCCAGGGCCCCAAAGAACTAACAGAATCGGAAAGTTTTTCAGCCTCTCTAAAGGAGATGATATCCACCAATACATTGTTAGAAAGCCCCTAAACAAGAAAAAGTAAGAATTCCAGGACCAAGGCACCTAAGTTCAACATCTTTTTCCTCCATGTGTCCTGTGACACAAAAGCAGATGCATTTCTCTGAAGAAACAATATGCTAAGAAAATGAGGAAGAGGTTGCAGAATATTCAGTCAAGAGAATGAAGTCGGGAACAGGTTGTTATCCTTGCTTAGAGGTTCTACTCTTGAGCCCAGTCACAAATAAGTCTATAAGATTAACAAATAAATGATCAGATGTTGAAAACATCCAATAAACATGAGTAACTAGAACTTCTGCTTACTAGGGGAGAAGTTATTGGTCATACATAGTCTGGTAAATTGGCCGTCAGAAAGGAAATCTTATGGAACTATAAAAATGATTTTTAAAAATCCTGTCAAGCTCATTAGAAGTAATATATGAAGTGAAATAAGCCCCAACCGTGGTTATGAACATGGACTCACAGATCCCATGCACAAGGTCCATGAATTCATGTTCATGAAATATTTCATGCAAAACAATCAAGTAGTATCTCATGCCTTCAAATTCATTAAAGGTATTTTGATATTAATTCAGTGCACATTGTACTCAGGAATTTTTACATCACCTCAACTTTTCATTGTGGTTTGTCTAATCAAAAGAAATGGAAAATATCACTATTATACAGATAGAGAAGAGTATATGGAACTTTCACCATAAAAATACAAGTTACCCTCCATGGGCATTTTGCGGTGCAAACCTAAGGATGTCCAAGGATGATTCATTTTCTATATCCATATACCCTTAGGAAAAGCATTTATCTCCGTGTTACTGGGTAAAGACCCATCCCTTGCTATTATTCTTCCTATTTAAAATTTCATACCCATAGATAAAACTTGTCATGATTTTAGAAAGAACTCCATTTTTATTCTAACATGCTGAAAGGAAATCCATTTTGGTTCTGGGAATAATGAATAGGATCATGAAAGGGTTTACTTTTTCTCTTGATTCCTTAAAACCATGCCTTTTTCTTTTAACTAAAAGCAAGCCATATTTCATTTTAATAGAATTACCCTGAAAGTATTGGTTTAATTTTTTTCAATTTTATTACACAATTAGGAACTCAGAACACCCCAAATTAGCTGTGGTGGTAAGACTATTAGTGCTCCGCTACACTGAAAGTGATTCATGCATTTTACCACCAAAGATTAAATTAGTTGAAACTCAGCTAACTACACAATCAATAAGATGAGAGGAGAGAATTTTAGTAAGTCCACTCTTCTCAAGAAGTTTTCTGTTTACAAGAGGCTTCAAGTATCTCTGATAAGATAGGTTACCCAAAATGTCAAGTACAGGCTCATCTTGGTCTGAGTACAACTCTCAATTCTTCCAAGGGCAAGAGAGTGATCCAATCACAGTGTGTTGTTCTGAATACAGCAGATTTTGAAGGAGTGTGTCCATAATGATAGAAGACAAATTAGTAGGCATCTTCCAGCATATTTGTTTATTTGCTTCAATTTCTCAAATATGGACATAAGGGACATAGAAATAAGGAGCTGTTGCTGATTGGAAATTTGATATTAGGTGCTAGAGACAGGCATGGATTTTAAAACATGAAATGGGGATGGATAGCTGATTAAGCTAATATTTAAGTCTTAACTCAACAAGTACTTGTTGAATGAAATGTGTACTCCCTGCACAGACTAGGAATGACTAGGCATAGGTGAATGAGAGAGACTTTTTGCCCTCAAAAAGCTTAAAATTTACTGTGAAGACAGAAAGAAAATGAACTATTAGAAGTAATTGTCGAAAGGAGTTGGGATATAGTTCAATTTGTAGAGCACTATCCTGGAATGCATGGAGCCTTGAATTCAATTCACAATATCACATAAATCGAGTGTAGTGGTATATGCCTGAAATCCTAGCACTCAGGAGGTGGAGGCAGGATGATGAAAAGTTCAAGGATATCCTTAGTTATATATAAAGTTTCATGCCAGCCTGAAATACATGTCTCAAATAATAAAAACATGGGGCTATGGATATGACTCATCAGGTAAGAGAGCTTACTTTGCAAGCATAAGGACCTGAGTTCAAATCCCCAACGTCAATATAAAAAGCCAGGCAGGGCTAGGTGTATTTGGAACCCCAGCATAATGGAGCAGAAACAGGCTGATCCTAAAGTCTCACTAGCCAGCTTAAGGTTTCATTGAGAAACCTTGTCCTAAGGTAGTATGATGGAACATGACAGAGAAAGATATCCTATGCCCTGCTTTGGTCTTCACATGAACACACAAAGTCACATATAAGCACTCACATATGCACATCACATATACACCATAATACACACAAATAAATAAATAAATAAAAATAAAATTATATTTTAAAAGAAATTAGTGTCAAAGTCATAACAACACCAACAAAAAGATTCATCCAGGACATTCAGTATTATTCATGGGAAGGAAACCTCATCAGTAAGGATGGATCATGAAATCCTTCTCAGGAAAAGTTAGTCCAGTAACTGGTTAGGAATTGGAGTAGGGATAGGATAGGGAATGTCCCATACAGAGAGAAGAACATGTGTGCAGTTCCCTGTGATACAAGGTATAAGTGGAATTTGAAACTAAAAGTAAAAGTTTAGCTCATTGCCATTAAGTGAAATAAGAAATTAAATACTCAGAAGGCTTAGTTGACTATTGTAGTAATCTTTGCATCAGAAAATAGTGCATAGTCAGTGTGATGAGACACTGAGGATCTGAAAGCAAGTATTTATGCACAATATCAAGAATGTTGCCCATTGGGTTATCTCTCTAGCCCCTCCAGAGACATTAAAGTGGGCAAGAACTGCCAAGAAACAGAAGTGCATGGTATAGCAAACCAGATAATTCAATACTTTAAAGGACTCATGTGTGAGCTACTAATACATTGGGTTACCAGCTGGAAGGACTGACATATCCATCTACCACTTAAGAAAAATATTCTTTGTTGGAATACTGACATGTTTCTATGGACTGTCTTCTTACATTTTGAAGGTGGGATATATTCTTTTGTGTGAGTGCATATCACTTAAATCAGTAAAAAATATGTTCCAAAATACAAATTGTTTTTGACACAACAAATTCCAAGAAGAGATTCAGATACTAAAATGAGATTAGATTGTGGTTAGGGAATTTAATCCAATGTTAGAGCATCTATCAATGATGCTTTCACTGAAGATTATATGTGATCTTGTCAAGACATTTCACTGATTGACATTCTGATAGGGAGTCCAAATCTCTTTTCTCACTTTTCAGTCACCACTTGCATTACTAGCAAGGCTTTAAACTGAAGATTGAACCAGAAATACGACACATAGCAACAGTATCCTGATATGTTATTTCAATTTCTATTTGTCAATCCCAACTCACAAGTAGGCAAAGCACATGTTATACTGCCAAGCCCCATATTCAATGTGGCATGGGGGTCTTAAAGAATGGGAAGCAAGCAGAGGTTGCTTATGCAGTTGTCCCAAAGATGAACAGATCAGAACTACATACTTTGGGTTTCCACGTCTAAAAATGCAAAGTAATTCTTCAGAATGCAATGCATGAAAATTAGAGATAGATAAAACTGTTCAACATGTCTTTTAAGATTCTAGTTAAATTCTAGCTGAGGCATCACAGACTATAATGAGGGTATGTAATACCATGAAATAAGGCCTTGCAATAAAGTCTAAGATACATAGTGATAGAAGGATAGATAGATAGATAGATAGATAGATAGATAGATAGATAGATAGATGATACATACATATACATATATGCATACATGGATAGATAGATAGATAGATAGATAGATAGATAGATAGATAGATAGATAGATAGATAGATAGATAATACATACATATAAATACATGCATACATGGATAGATAGATAGATAGATAGATAGATAGATAGATAGATAGATAGATAGATAGATAGATAGATAGTACTTGCTTTAGATATTAAAGTGAGTCCTTAACCATTTGCAGTCTATCTAAGACTAGCATTTTATTGGCTTATCAGTGAAATCAGTGAAGAATTTAGATGATTTAGTAAATAAGCTCACAACATATGACTCTTTGGGTTGTGCACTACCTAATCCAGAGGTGTCATTTGCATAAACTATGATGCAAAACCATACCCCTAGGAGTTTCACCATATGGCTATGTCTACTAGTACAACAGCCATACCAGAAACCCTGGGAGAACAAGTGAAAACATTCAGAGGATTGATGCTCATCCCCAAAGCATCTCTTATCCTGACTTCATACATACTGGGAGTGCCTTAGCTACTTTTCTATCACCATAATATGATATCGTGACCAAGAAGCATCTAGAAGAAAGAGTTTATTGGGTTTAAGTTTCAGAGAGTGAGTCCATGACCATCATGACAGGGAGCATGGCTGCAGGCAGGCACAGCACTGGAGCAGTAGCTGAGAGCTTACATATTGAGACAACAACCACAAAGCAGAGAGAGTGAGATAACTGGGAATGGCATGGACTTTTGAAACCTCAAACTCCATCACTCAGTGACACACCTTCTCCCACAAGGCCACACCTCCTAACCCTCCCCAAATAGTTATAGTAACTGGGGGGTCAAACATTCATATATATGAGCCTAAGGGAAACATTCTCATTTAAACCATCACAGGGGTGACAGTTCTTTCTTCTTTCCTTCACTGTTTTGCTAAGGTGAGTATTTATGATAAGGTGACTGCTTTAGTTAGGGTTTCTATTGTTATGACCACAACAACTCTTATAATGGAAAACATTTAACTGGGACTGGCTTACAGTTTCAGAATTTAGTCCATTATTATCATGGCAGGACATGAAGGCAGACATGGTGCTGGAGAAGTAGCTGACAGTTCTACATCTTGATCCTCAGGCAACAGGAAGTGAACTATCTCACTGGGTATGGCTTAAGCATATACACCACCTCAAAGTCCATCTCTACAGTGGCACACTTCCTCCAACAGAGCCACACCTACTCTAACAAGGTCACATTTCTTAAAAATGCTACTTCCTATGGGCCAAATATCTAAACACATGAGTCTATGGGGGCCACATCTATTCAAACCACCACAGTGACCCCTAGAAGAAGGGGAAGATTTCAGTAGAGAGGTGAAAAGATGTCCGCCACTATCATAGTTTCATTCTGTTACTGTGGTAATGCATTCCAACTAAAACAACTTAGTCGAGGAAAGGATTTATCTGACTTACAACACCAGGTCACAGCCCATCACTGAGGGAAGTCAAGGCAGAACTTGAAGGCAAACCTGTTTGATATCCCATACAGAATTACCTCTGACCAAGGAGATAACCTCACAGTCAAAGAAGTACAGTAGGAAACATGGAGAATGTTGCTTGCTTGCTGACTCTCACATTGGTTTATACTCAGCTAGCTTCCTTACACAGTCCAGGTCTACTTGCCTGGGGATGATGCCACCCATAGTGGACTGAACCTCCAACATCAATTAACAATCAAGACAGGCCAATCTGATAAAAGCAGTTCCTCAATTGAGATTCTTCTCTCAGATGACTCTAGGCTGTGTTAAGTTGATGGTCAAAGCTAACCAAAACAATATCATCCCTTTCTTTCCATTCTCTTCTACCTAAACACACACTTGGTCAGATGAGTTAATTTTGAGTCTCCACAGACAAACATTAAACACAACAGTCAGACACTTGTGTCAATTTATAAAATTAGGCTGTATGTGAGCCCAGATAATGGACAGGGGGGAGGCCCTCATTTTGTTTAAGTTCTACAACCAATAGTAACAGATGAGGAACACCATTCTGTAGCAGATGTGACTAGGTGAGATGCCATAGAACACATGGGTACTACAGTGGCTTTCACAGACAGAGATGGCCAGGAGTGGCCAGCTTTGTCCATTGACACATATAAAACCCTACTCTGAGAACTTCCCTCGCAGTAGTAGGAAAGCTTTTGGATGAGGACTAAGGTCCAGGAGAGAGAAGGTTTGGATATTGCTGTGAATGGGACCTCATACACCTGCACAAGTTGGAGCTGTCTAGGACATTTAGATGGCCAATGGGAAGCTTTGATCTGAAAGTAAGTCTGTAAATGTTAAACTCTTTCATCTCCCCCCAAATCCTGACAACTTGGCACATGAGTCTTAAAAATGAATGAAAGGGCAAAAGCAAAGGACGTTCAATGTCCATTAATAATTCATTATGTCATTAGCTATCCTTGTTTGTGAATTTTTAAACAGTGTAATATGTGGGACTGGTGGGGCTGAAGGAGGAGACACGGGGAAAGGGAAGGGAGCACCTGAATAGATGAAGGAAAAAATTAACAGAAAGAGGGCCAGGTTCTATCTTGCTTCCAGGATCTGTGTTTACATGTCTGGGCTTTCCCTCCCCACTGTCCTGCCCCAAAATGCTTTCAAAAACCATCTGTTGTCTCGGAGAGAAGACATGGCTTAGCAAAACCTTAAGGTATCAAAACCTACCTTAAGCCTAAATAACTGCACTGATTGGTCTTGATTTATTTTTGTAGCTGTTATTTGCTCAGGTCCGAAAGCAGCTTTCCTCAGCCTCCAGACCTGCTCAGTTCCTCAGCAGCATGTGACAGGATATAGCAGTGCAATGATGAGTAAGTCAGCCAACCAAATCAAGCCCTCAGATGACAGTACATACTCCATTACAGCATCCAGCTGAGATAAAATTTCAGATGTAATTTCAAACTTTCTTGTACCATTAAGTCAAAAGAATCTGCAAGAGACTCAAGATAAGATCATTGGCTCAAAGGTTACAGAACAGGGCCTCTATCATAGATCTTCTTTGAAGGCCTTCTCCTTCCCATACTTGCTTCTATCCTATCCCTACCTCCATCACCATTTTTCCAACACTACTCACATTGGGACCTCAATAACTGTTTAGGGGACTATTCTGTGCATTTCAAAATGTTTTACAGTATCCCTGCTCAACATCCACCAAATGTTAGTAGTAAGTACTCTCTCTGTCTCTCTCTCTCTCTATGTCTGTCTGTCTGTCCCCCCTTTCTCTCTCTCACACACACAACATTATCAACAATGTCTCTAGACATTGTCAGGTGTCCCTTGGAAGCAAAATAACCAGCAGTTGAGAATCAATAAGCTAAAAATATATTTGTGTCCATAACTGACATACATCAACAATAACAACACAAAACAATATACTTCTTAAATTCTGCCAATCAAAATGATTTTTGTTTTTTAATATAAAAGTCAAATGCCAATTCCATCTTCACCTGTAGGAATAGAACCTGGAAGGAAGAGGAAAAGATTATATGCCATGTTTATATTATGTGCTATATCATATGTGCCAGGATCCCCATGTATCTTACATGGCTGCATTTTAATGTGCATCAAGAAAATACCACACCTGCTAAATCAAATCTTTGTTGAAGTCACATCATTCTAAGAAGCTAGTTCTAAATTTATCCTCAAATTTTCAAAAATGAATCAAGCATACTTCTAATGCTGTTTTATACAAACACTGCTGTATTAGTTACTTTTCTGGTTGGTATGACAAAATACTCTGACCGAAAAAAATTCAAGAAAGGAAGGTTGTATTTTGACTCACTGCTTGAGAGTATGTAATTGGTTATTTTACTCTTCTTATTCTTTGACTCTTTGGGGGCCCACCACCCAGGTCCCAAACAAATCACATGGAGGCTTATTCTTTTTTATGAATGCCTGGCCTTAGCTTTGCCTGTTTCTAGTCAGCTTTTCTTAATTTAAATTATCCTGTCTACCTTTTGCTTCTGGGATTTTTACTTTCACTATTTCTGAATTACCTTCCCAAGTTTTTTTTTTCCTCTTAATCCATGGCTTGCTGTGTAGCTGGGTGGCTGGCCCCTGGAGTCCTGCTCTTTTTCCTCCCAGATTTCTCTTCGTATTTATCCTCTCTACCTTCCATCCTGGCCTATCCTTTTTTCCTGCCTAACTAGTGGCCATTCTGCTCTTTATTAGACCAATCAGGTGTTTTAGACAGGCAAAGTAACACAACTTCACAAAAGTTAAACAAATGCAACATAAAAAAGCAACACATCTCTGCATCATTAAACAAATGTTCCACAGCATAAACAAATGTAATACATCTTCAATTAATATTTCACAACAAGGGTAGGTACAGTCTGTTCTGGTAAGGATGTCATGGAGGCAGAAACTTGAAACAGCTGGTCATATCACATCCTCAGCCAGGGAGCACAGAGAGATGAATACTGGTGTTTGGCTTCCTTTCTCCTTTTTATTTAAATCAGGACCCCAGTTCATGGGATGGTATACACATATTTATAATTCTTTACTAGCCATTACACACCAGGCACTATTTTCAAACTAAGAGATAATAGCACTGACTTGAGAGAAAAGAAAAAGCTCACTCTTATGGAGCACATGTTCCAAAGAGGATCAACTGGTCATAAGCAAAATGATGGGTGAGGCAGGATAAAAAGACAAGAAAAATGAAGACGAGATGGGAAGGCAAAGGAACCCCTCACTGCAGAGTCTAGTTGAAGTCTTTCTTGTCAGCTGGACTAAGAATTCCAGCACAATTAACAAAAGTTTCTGTGACAGTTGCCTACATAGCAACAATATTCCTTTTTATATGTAGACATTTCAGCTACAAATGTTAAAATAGCAATGAAGCAAATTAATGCATTTTATTTTCATCTACGTGTATGAATGTGAGTCTGTATGCGTGTGTGTGTGTGTGTGTGTGTGTGTGTGTGTGTGTGTGTCAGTGTCTGCGGAAGACTCAAGAGGGTGTCAGATCACCAAAGTTGGAGTTACAGGCAGATGTGAGCCATGTGTCTTGGGTGCTGGAAACCAAACTCTGTCCTTCAGGAGAAGAGCAAGTGCTCATAACCAGTTAGCCCTCTCTCCAGGCCCTAAATTGTATTCTTTTCTTTCTGTCTGTCTTTCTTTTGTTTCATTTTTTTGAGACAGGGTTTCTCTGTGTAGCTTTGTAGACCAGGTTGGCTTCAAACTCACAGAAATCTACCTGCCTCTGTTTCCCAAGTGCTGGGACTAAAGGCCTGCCCCACCACCACCCACCCACCCCCAGCTCCTGAACTGTATTCTTAAGACCTAAATCTATATGAGTTTTGAATATGGCTTTACTCTTTTCCTAGACATAACCCTGAAACTTCTGGAACTCTTACAAATAAGACTATAAATTATGTTTGCAGGAAAATGCATCTTAAAAGATTGGAGTGGTGGTACACATCTTTAATTCCAGAACTTGGGAGGCAGAGGCAGATGGATCTCTGTGAGTTAAAGGCCAGTCTCATTTACATAGCCAATTCTAGGTCAGTCAGGGCTACATAGTGAAATCCTGTTTCAAAAACAATATCTTAGTTTCTTTCTGCAAACCTCATGACTCTGGATTTTGCCATATCAACTGTAGTCCTATCTAATGCTTCTTTTGAATAACTCTATGATTTCTTTCAAGTTCACCTATCTTGCTGCTGAAGCATTCCTTTGTTGGTATTAGAACCCACTTCTTTGGGATTCCATCATGGACTAAAGACCAGCAGACTTCCCTGGGACTCCAGCCCCAGACTAGGACTTCGGAGACATTCAGTCTCACAGAATAAACAACTACAGGACCCTTGGAGACAGCCATTGTCAGACTACTTCGATCCAGTATATAAGCCACTCTGATAAATCCCATGTGTGTGTGTGTGTGTGCGTGTGCGTGTGCGTGTGCGTGTGCGTGTGCGTGTGCGTGTGTGTGTGTGTTAATTCTTTCAGTTCTGCTCCTCTAAAAAATGCTGACTAATACAACCTCTTTCTATAAATCTCATGCTTAAATCTATGTTAAAAATCTCTGTAATAAATTCCTGCTTTATACTGGCTGCTCCTGAAATACTTTTCTGGTAATCTCAGGCATCCAGTATTCATCTGAGAAGAGGTCATAGACAATAAGAATGTTATTTTGCAAGTGAAAGACGGATACACAAATCACAGAAAAATAATACAGGACAGAGGATAAAAGCAGTTGTGTGTGTGTGTGTGTGTGTGTGTGTGTGTGTGTGTGTGTGTGTGTGTGTGTGTGTGTGTGTTTGTGGACTGAGGTTGCAATTGGGAGAAAAGTCTTCAGTGAACAGGGAGCATTTGAGCAAAGACCTGAAGGAGACAAAGGAATAACCCTTATGTATATGGAGATAGTCCCTCCAGACTAAGAGAACTGGACAGGGGTAGACCCCTCATATTCCAGAGTCAGCAAGTAAATACTGCACTACAAGGGGCCTGAAACCAAGAGAGGTGGGGCTTGGGCAACTGGAAGACTGTGACCTCCCTGGTGGGATTTTAAGGGGATATGTTTTGATGGTGGATGGCACAGGAGACCACTCAAGGTTTGGAAATCCAAGCATGGCTTTCTCATTTAATTGGTCCAAAAAGGCTTCATGAAGAAGGGTCTGTTTCTATATATGAAACAAATCCAAAAGCAGAAAAACCTATTAGGGGGTTACTACAAGGGCTTGACTTCATGTACATTTGGACTCAAATGGAGCTGACAGAGTAGATAGATAGATAGATAGATAGATAGATAGATAGATAGATAGATAGATAGATAGATGTACAAAATGACAGGATCCCAAGGGCTAGAGAGATGGTTCAGTGGTTAAGAGCACTTCCTGTTCTTGCAGGGGATCCAAGTTTGGTTTCTAGCCCCATTAGGTGACTTACAAACATTCTTAACTCAAGTTCTAGGGGATCTGGCGCCATCTTCTGACCTCCTCAAGTACCATGCATGCAGTACATATGCAAAAAGATAGACAAAACACTCATACACATAGGATTAAAAATAAATAAATCTTATAAAAACAGGATTCCAGGAGTGTCAGATATATGCAGGATCTGAGAGTAATCAGACTTAAGAATGGGTCTCATAATTCTTATAAGTGTGTGGCTCATAATAGTATTCTTGAAGTGATTCTCATTGCATAGGCGGGTTCAAAATTAGAAACAATAGACTAATCAACAGAATAATTTTTTTTGGAATGTCAGCTTGCTAGTGTAAGATCAAATCTAACTTCCTGGAAACTGAAAAATAAGTTTTAAACAGGTGAATGCTCGGACATCCACAACCCTGTACAAAGAACTGCAGGCAACTAAGGAATGCTGAGAGTAGAGAAACAGTCTTTCCCAGGGAAGAGCCCACCAATGGGTTATTCAATACCATGTGGTCAGCCCTGGAAATATATACATATAAGGAACTTCTTACAGGCTTATCAGGATGTGTTTAGGAATGTACATGCTTATAACAACAATTAGTAAAAATAAGACCATGGATTTAAGAGAACAAGGGGGGATATAACAGAGTGTTAGGAGGGGTAAAGGGAAGGAGGAAATGATGTAATTATATTATCTCAAAACCAAAAGAAATGATTTTAATAGATGGATCAAGAGAAAAACATATACTGCAGTAACAACTAAAAGCCAAGATCATTACAATTAACAAAATGAGATGAGTCTTGAACATGAGAGTGAGTTTGTGTGGGAAGGCAGCACACAAAACATGGCAGACAACATGAACAACCCACGTCACAGGAGGGTGGTGTTACATTAACTGCCCCAGAAGAGCACCAATGGAAGACCAAAGCAAGGTTTCTACTCAAATCCAACTGGGTGAGCCAATGAGTTTATTGGGTTCATTTTGAGGAGCATGAATGGAGTTACTTACAGGAGCATAGGTGACCTCAAAACAGCTGCACCATCTCAAAACCCCGCCCCATCATAGAATCTGCAACATAGTGTCTCCCTTTCAGTTAGCCTTCCATTTCCTATACTCTAGAATCTCCCAAGATAATTTGCAGCTGGGTGGCAAGATGGAGTAACAGCTGAAATCCTTAGTAAGGGTTCTGCGGACACCCCCTTGTCTAATGGGGAGTGTCAATAGCTCCTCTATTATTGTTACAATGGATCAAGCTATTACTGCATTTTTCTGCTTATTTTGTTGCCATGGTTAGCAGGGAAAGGTTATATCTATTTCAAGATTGCACTGATTGTGTTTTGCCCAGAGAAAAAAGCCACACTATAAGTGGTGAGACTGTACATGCCTATGGCCAAAAGCTCCAGTATGAGGAAGGGATAGAGGCAGGGAGTCAATCATCCAGGGCATCACATGTTATACCAAATACTCACTTTTCATCCTGACTGCAATATCATCACTACTATAGGACTTCAAACTGGGAGAAATGTTTCAACAGCAGTGAGTATTGAGAGCCAGTGGCTCGTGAAAGGATCCTTAGTCAGTACATAGTCTTATTTTCCCCTCTGGCTATTAAGTAAGTGAAATGCCTTGGTCTATTTACAAGGCTATGTAAGAAGACATAAAATTCAAAAGTAGGTTGCACCTGTTGTTTCCCAGGAAATTCCCCTACAGTTTTACTTGAGCTTTATCATCAATGTAAATGGTTTCAAATTCGATGTTGCTGCCTTGTTCCGGTAGATCCTGTGCCATGCCATCTCTTCTTTCATTAAGCATGGAGTGGTCTGAGGGCAGGAAACACATTTGCTCAGTTCTTCAGAAATGCCAAGATAAGTTTCTTATTAGAATGAGATAATTTTTCTCCCAGGGTCTCCACATTTTGTTACTTAATCAACCATTACCTGACTCTTTTTCTTGGCATTACATTTATTTGTTAAGGATACATTATGATTTCCCAAGAAATGTCCAGGAGAGAGGACTTTCTTCATCAATTCTGAGTATGGCACAACCAGCTCATTAGGCGTCTCTGCTACTCCAATGCCTTCAAAACTAATTAAGCTTCTCTCAATATATTATCCACGTTCACACAAGCAGCCTCTCTAAGATCAGCAGTAATGCATCTGTGGAATGTCTGTGGCGCTGAGATTGTAATTTAGGAAAAGAGCTCACCTGTCTTTCTGTTCCATCGTTCTCCATGTTATCTTTAATCTCCATATTATCTTATTATCTTTTGACTGACTGGATTCTAAGTACATTTTCTTTTGAAGTTAGACCCATGTATGGTTGCTTTCATGTGGTGTGCACATACACAAACTGGAGAATGTATACCTGTATGCAAATAAGAGCTACTCATTTCTCTTTCCAACTAAGCTATACTGGTTACTGAAAAGTGTTCAGGTTTGACTTCCAATGATTGACAAGTGCCTGAATTATGTGTACTTCCAATATACAAACTACATTGCTTTGCATTACATAGCCCCACAAGTTTCTTTGCATACGTCCATGAGCCACAGTCCTTGATATCTTTCCATTTACTCTTATTATCTTGCACACTCATAACCTCATTTCATCTACTCTACACTGAGTCTTTGCCTCACTGTTTCTACTCCAGTGTCAAAGCCTAACCCCAGACCCAAGGGGATGTTCAAACCTCAGGACACAGACTACATACAGGCTAAGTGCGATTAGCCCTAATTCATGGTTGCATAGAAAGAATCTGAGTCAGTTGTTTAGGCAGAATACAACAAATTAGCACAGTCCCCACACAGAGGAGTTAGAAACAATGCTATCTCCTTTCACACCCCCAAGACAGATAATGTATAGAAAGAAGTTTTAATTACTAGATCTCCTTCAAAAGTTTCTCTACAGTCTGGGTGTACTACTCAATCATCACTAGTGTGTAATAGAATGAGACAACCAAGAACATGCTCATTAGATCTCTACACACAAGGTCCTAACCCACTTCCAGACCTCACAAAAGTTTTCATTTTGAGTACTGGGTCTTGGAAGTACAACCTCAAGACTTTGCTGTTGTTTTTGTTTTAACTTAACTCCACTTTGGCACTTTCTGCTCATATGTCCCAATAGACTGGGAGAAATAAGAAAATGAGAATTCTCTAGAAGAACCTAAGACTGCTGATGCTGAGTCAAATTCCAATTGGTTGTTCTGTCCAGATATAAATCCCACCACATAGTTTCTATTTTATCACACAGTAGAAACAGTTTGGAGTATGCAGTTGCTAGAAAAGGATGCCAATGGTTCTCAATCTGTGGGTCAAAACCTCTTTGGGAGTCACATATCAGATATCCTGTATATTAGATATTTATATTAGGATTCATAACAGTATCAAAATTACAGTTATGAAGTAGCAGTGAACTAACTTTTACAGTTGGGGGGGTCACTACAACATGAGGAACTGTATTAAAGGGCCACAGCATTAGGAAGATTGAGGACCAGTGATATAAACTCTCAGCTACTGCTCCAGAAATACACCTTCCTACCTTCTGTCATGCTTCCCATCATGGTGATCATGGACTCAGCATCTGAACTGTAAGCAAGCCCTCAATTAAATGCTCTCTTTTTTAAGATGTGCTCAGTCAAGGTGCCTCTTTATAGCAATAGAAGAGTAACTAAGACAACTTTGGCCATGGGGTTTTACCACAGCAACAAGAAAACAACTGATACAGAAGTCTTCTGAGATGTATTCTCTGTATTCTCTTCTTCCTTTTGAGTAACGACTCATTTCACAGTCTAACTGCTATGTTCTAGAGAGTCCTCCCCCTAACTAAATTTACGCATTGAAAATCAACTCCCAGGGTAGTACGAAGATTCAGTGCCTTTAAGAGGTAATTATGAACAAATGAGATCAAGACCCTTATAAAAGAGATATGAGGGAATGACCTTGACCTTTCCACCATATGAGGCTGTAGCATGATGCCATCTTTGAAACAGAGTGCAAATCCCTGTGAGGCTCTTGATTTTGGGCTTTCCAGCCCTGTAAACTGTAAGCAATAAATTGCTGCTGTTTGCAAATTTCTTACTCTGAAATTTTTTGCTGTAACCGTCTGAACAAAATAAGACATCAACCTTTTCATACTATTACTAATAAAACTCAGCCTGAGCATCAGGAACAGGCACTGTGGTAAATATGATGTAGACATTATCTCACAGAATGAAGTCCTGTGAGCAGAATATTACAGAAGCAACCACGGCTCAGAGAGGTGAGGTAGTTCTCCCAAGACAATTCTATACAGATTCATCTCCAAATGTTTTTGATGTCTGGAGTGTTTTGGTGTGCACTCATCATGTTTGTTTTTGAAACAGGGTTTCAAATGTTCCAAAATGGCCTCTAAAACACTATGTCACTGAGGGTGATCTGGGTCCTCATGGTCTACCTCCCACGTGCTGGGATTAAAGGCAAATACCACCACATCCAGTTTATGGAGTGCTGGGAATGAGCCCAGGCCATTGACCCATCTTATTTTTGTTCTTAATTAGGTCCAGAGGAAATTTAAGATATCATTGCATATTTAAGTAATTAGGTATTAACATTATTAACTTTCTTCTCAGATTTTAATGATAAAAAGAAACATGGCTAAACAAAGAACCATCACACTGCTCTCTCTGAAGAATAGGATAGAGTAGTGACATGCATGCCTTCTGTTTAAAACAAATAGTACATTAAAAGAAAGGGCTGATCTTCCTCACAATGTTACCTTCTTTCAGGAACCTTGAGACTGATCATTGGAAGTAGAGGTACATGCCTATAATCCCAGCATTCAGGATGCAGAGACAGGTGGATCTCTGTGAGTTCAATGCCAGCTTGACATAATGAGCTCCAAGACAGCTAGAGCTACATTGTTGTCAATGACCCTGTAAACCTCAAGTCTAACTGGAAGACAATCTGCACAAAGTGAAGAATGAAACTCGGGTACCATCTTTTGTTGTTGTTAGTGGTGGTGGCTTTGTTTGGTTGTGTTTTGTTTTGTTTTGTTTTGTTTTTTGAGACAGGGTTTCTTTGTGTAACAGAGCCCTGGCTGTCCCGGAACTTGCTTTGTAGACCAGGTTAAGATATGTGCCAAAAAATGTATCTCAGTTTACCGAGTTCAGTTGGCATTGTACAAAAATTAACACCCATATTGTTCTAGAAATGTTGAACTTAATTTTTTTCCATTTGTACAGGGGTAACACACTGTATTAAATATGTAAGGTCTTAAAAAAAAGAAGGGATTTTGAGAGCCCATCCCATATGAAGGGATGCTCTCTTGATCTGGACACATGAGGAAGAGCCTAGGTCTGGCCCAGGATAATGTGGTAGACTTTGAGGAGCCCCTTTTGAGGGCCTTACCCTGCCTGGGGAGTGGAGGGGAGATGGCTAGGGGCAGGTGGGATGTTGGGGGGGAGGGGAGGGAGAGGGAGAAGGGATTGACATCTGAAGCAAGCTTGTTCCTAATTTGAACTAATAAAATAAAATAAAAATTAAAAAGATGTGTGCCAAAATGCCTGGCTAGTCCATACCATCTTTACAGGCAGTGGGTCAAGATTTCCAGAGACTGACCTCATGGTTTGTTCTTCTTACACATTTAAGCATAGTACAACTTGGGGAACAGGCTACCACATGACAGTTATCACAACCATGTTTTAGACATAGCTACATAGAATCCCTCTAGCAAAACAGCAAAACACCTGTGACCTTTACAATACGAATGCGTTTTATTGTCTGATAAACAAACTAGGAATAGGGCCTAGAGAGGAAGGATTTGTAAAAAGCCTAAGGATAGATTCTATTGGTAGAAGATGCAAAATTTGTGTGGCCTCTTTCATAGAGATGACTTCTAGCCACAAAGCCCAGGATTGGGGCCTAAACAATGCTCAGGATATTGGGGACATTCGAGTGGAGTCTGGCTCCTACTAAAATAGCAAAAGATACGGATCCCCAGGTTGTCTGACCACTTTCACTGGCATTCCAGGTGACCAGACATTATTCATTTCCTTCCTTTGAAGAATACAAGCCTGAATGATTGACAATCTTGGTTTATCCAAAGCTTAGTCTAAACTGTACTTCCTACACATAGTGAGACACTGTTTCAGAAAAACAGTTCCTTGAGATCTTATTTCTGTTAAGCAAAAGGGAAATAATGTTTCTTCATCTCACACACATAAATCCAGGTTAAGCATACACCTGAAAGATCCAAGTTAATCCCATAAGGCTGTGATGGACCACAAAGCAGCCACTGCCTCCATATCAGACGCAGTCATAGAGTGTTCTAGATTGGGTGAGAACAGCAGTCTAGTGTGAGGGCTTTCTCAGAAGAACCCCATGAGTAGGGAGGCAGTAAGAAGCCAGTGACATTAGAGAAGACTGTACCCATGTTTGAGTTTGGAAAAAAAAAAAAACAAGCTGAAGGCAGCCTGTTCTAAATCGCATTGCATTGATTTTTAGCTCCTCAAAAGGCTTCGTAAGAAAACAAAATATGAATTTTAGATGGTTGATATTTAACTTTCCAATAAGACATTTAGCTTGGCTTAATTATAATCTGATTTAATTTTTTTAAATAGCAATGCTTCACTTGGAAAAAAGTCATATCAGAATTACATATAAATTCTCTTCTGGCATTTAATTCATCTCAGGGTTCAAATGTAGGATTATAAAATTTTAGACATTTAAATTTTTTCATTTATTTCATGTGTATGGCTGATTTCCCTGCATGGAAGTCTATGTGCCTCGTGTGTACAGTGCCCATGGAGGCCCCAAAAGTGTGTTGGATTCCTAGGACTGGAGTTACAGATGAGTTGTCATGTGGGTGTTAGGAATTGAACTCAGGTCCACTGCAAGGGCAACAAGTGCCCTTAACCACTGGGCCATCTCTCCAGCTCTCTTGAGAGACACCTTACACATATTCCAGTTATTTATTGCAGAGGACTGTATGTGACAGTCTTAGCACAAAGCATTACATAAAACACTTGAGGAAGGCATGGCTTTTCTTTTGGATTATTAAAAGCAATTAAGAGAAATATCAAAGCCTAAAGTGAGGTCATTTTTGTAGCCGTGATATTAGAAGAGCAATATTTGTTTTCTGCTTCAACAGGTACTAACCCATTATCTTGCAGTCTGATGTTAGGACTGATTCTATCTGAAGTAAACAAAAAATGGTTTCCAGACAAGGCAACCAGGTGAATTTGAATTTCAGACTCTTGAAAATTTTTATATAATTATTTCTCAAACATTGCATAACACATACTTACACTAAAAGTGTGTGTGTGTGTGTGTGTGTGTGTGTGTGTGTGTGTGTGTGTGTGTGTGTGTGTGTAGCTCAAATATAACTGTACCTATATTTTACCTAGCAATGGTGTTTCTGAGAGAAGTTTGAAAGGATTCTAAGAAGGTCAAAATGATCTTAAAATTTCTCCATATACTGGGCAGTGGTGGCACAAGCCTTTAATCCCAGCACTCAGAAGATAAAGGCAGGAGGATCTCTGTGAGTTTAAGGCCTGTCTGGTCTATGGATTGAGTTCCAGGACAGCCAGGGCTGTTACACAGAGAAACCCCTGTCTCAAAAAAATCATGTGAGATCTTTTCTTATTAGTTTTTTTTTTACAAATTAGCATACCTGAGTTCCTTTTGGGTGTTTCCATACATACTTTGTCCCTTGCCCCACCCTTACTAATCCCCTCCCCCTAAACTAGCACCTCTTGTGCTTTCATGTCTTTCCCCCTCATTTGGGTCTCTTTCTAGTTTTGTGACCTATACCCACATTCACACATATAGAAACACACATATAAAAATTAAAACCTAGGATCCACTGAGAGCAAATATGTGACATTTGTCTTTCTGAGCCAGAGTTATCTTGCTGAACATAATAATTTCCAGTTACATCTATTTTCCTGCAAATATCATGAATTCATTTCTCTTCATGGCTGACTAAAATTTTATCATCTACACATAGCACATATACTTTCTTTACCCATTCATCTACTAATGACTCTCTAGGCTAAATCCTATTGCACATACATGTTTATTGCTTCATGGATCCCCATAGCTAAAGAATGAAGCCACCCAAGATCTTAATGTGTTTCATTTTCTATTAATGTTTCCCTTGTCCTTAAATTAAGTATTGACTTCTTCCTGAAATGAAAAAAGAAAAGCTTTACTGGTAAAAAGTCATAACCCCATGGGGTGGCAGAGATGGCTCAATGGTTAAGAGTACTTCTGCTCTTACCGAGGACCTAAGCTTGGTTCCTAGCACACAACTTTCTATAACTCCAATTCCAGGGAATCTGCTCTTCTCTTCTAACTGCTGTGGGTACTGCAGGCATGTAGCACATGCAGGGAAAACACTCATACACTTAATATTAAAATAAATATATTTTAATGTGTAGTCCCATGTACAACCTGTACTGGCTAATCAACTTGACACAAGCTAGAGTCATCTGAGAGAAGGGAACCCCAATTAAGAAAATGCCTCCATAAGATCAGGCTGTATGCAAGCCTGTAGGGCATTTTCCTAGTGATTGATGAGGGAGGACTGTTATGATAAATCTTTCTGCCAAAGGCCGCCGAGCCCCACCACCACGTGTGCGCTCTATGCCAGCCGCCCGCCTGAGTTAGGGCCCCAATTAATGCACAGAGAGACTTGTATTAGGTACACTACTGCTTGGCCAATGACCATTCTCATCTTTTAACTCAGTCTCAATTATCATAAACCTATATATTTTATAAGACTTACCTTATAGAGGATGCCTTTCGCTGGTGCCCTCTCTTGCCAGTGGCTCACATACTGCCACTGGAGGATGCAAAGGGGAAAAGGGGACACTTTCTGTTTCCTTTGCTTAAATACGAGTCTCCTTGTTATGTCACTTCCTGCCTGGATCAACACTTCTCTACTACATTTCCCAGAATCCTCTTTGACTCCTAGTCCTGTCTAACTTGCTGTTTCATTGGCCAAACAGAATTTTATTTAGCAATCAATAAGATAAATATACACAGTACATTCCCCATCAGAGGACCCAGACCATGGTGCCATCCCTGGGCTGATTGATGCTCCTGGGTCCTATAAGAAAGCATGCTGAGCAAGCCATGAGAAGCATGCCACAAGAAGCAAGCCAGTAAGCAACTCCCCTTCATGGTCTCTGTATCAGTTCCTGCCTCCAGGATCCAGCCCAGTTTGAGTCCCTGCCTTGCCTTCCCTTAGTGGACTGTGATTCAGGATATGTAAGCTAAATAAACTCTTTCTTCCCCAAATTTCTTTTGCCATAGTGTTTGTTTTTTTAAGATTGTAATGATCCTCCCCGAGCAAATTGAGAGCATGGGAAGAGGGGGGAGGGAGCTACGAGAATGAGAAGGGAAGAAGAGGAAGGATGCAGAGGTCATGAGGGAGCAGAAAGGTTGAGTCAGGTGTAGATTAGAAGAAAGGATATTCGATAGGTAGGGTTTTAGTTGGGGGGTGGTAGGGGAGGAAGGGAGGGAGATGGGAACTGGAATTGTCATGTAATTCAATCTTGTTTGTAATTCAAATAAAAAAGATGTACTGAACAGAAAAAAATTAAAATACAACATGGCTATTACAACCAAAAAACAAAAAGAAAAAGAAAACAAGTAAGTAACAAGATTTTGTGTTGTGTTATTTTGTACTGGATGAGAAAAACAAAACAAAACAAAACAAAACCAGAAGAATCTTTTTTAAAAAGATTGTAATGATCTGACTTTATTTTACACTAGGTAGGGGACACAAAGCAATCCTCTTTAATAAAGTTGACATTTAGCTTCACTCAGAACATTTTAATAATGCACATTTTAAAAAATATTCACCTTACAAATTGTTCTGCAATCCAAATATACAACGCCAATGTAAAAAGACAGATTGGAACAACTACAACAGTCCAGGTTTGATATGGCTCAGATTTTACAGCTTTCTTACTGCATCATCTATGTCAGAGATCTGTTCCTTCAGCTGGCTCCATTGCTCCACGTTTAAAGAAATGCCTTTTCTCCCCAATTTCATTTCGCCTTCTGAGTCCATCCAATATTCTCTAATATCAATTAGAATTAGTCCTTTAAAGTCCCGAACACTGATGTATCTCATCTTCCCAATCTGAAAGATGTTACCATCTCTGCTGCTGCTTCTCTGCTCAGAAGATGCCAAAGTTCTAGAAGTCTCACCAGGCTTTTGTTTTTTTTTATGGAACAACTTGTTTTTTCTTCTTACCTTTTTTTCAACCTCACTGTCAGAATCACTGCATGAAGAGCTTGAAGAAACAAGTTCCTTTGATTTAAGCATTGCTCTGCTCCTGCTGTACAACAGCCTTCAGCTCGCCAGCTCCGGACTGTGGCCAGTGTTTAATCACAGCAATAGTAACTGTAACTGAGACACAGCCCTAGAAGAAAGACACAACTCTATGTGTTTTGGCATGGGATTAGCTCCTGTATCTTAGGGATACCATTGGGGAGGAAGCTGCATTTGAGTGGCTAGGCAGTACACTGTAGAAAGGAGTCTCTTTGCTCTCTACTGTTTTGCACATCTTGAATTTTATGCACTGTGCATATGTTATCAGTTCAAAGACAAGAACATACAAACAAGGAAGCAAAACAAAACTATTTCTTTCCAAGCAAGGCAGAACCAAACTTCCTAAGAGGTGCCTAGCATTTGGCTGACGTTATTTTATTGACTTGCATGATTCCACCTGACTTTTTAAAAGAGGTCTGAGAACCTGGAGATGAACTATTTTACAACTGTGCATTGATTCTTCCCTGCTGAAATGCAGCCAATATTTTGAAAGTGGAAAAACATAATAGTCTTTCCATGAAGTTCTACATTTTATCTGTAAAAGAGTATGCATATTTTCATATGCTCTTACACACTTTATATAGTTTAACTCTTTTCACTTTCAATATATTCCTCCTCAAACACGCACATATATGCACACACACACACACACACACATACACAGAGAGAGAGAGAGAGAGAGAGAGAGAGAGAGAGAGAGAGAGAGAGAGAGAGAGAAAGAGAGAGAGAGAGAGAGAGAGAGAGAGAGAGAGAGCTCTCAGCAAAAGAAAAGGGGAAAATCCCTTTGTGACTAACAGATAACTCTGTGTCTGTATTGATCTCCATCTCCCCACCCACATTTTTAGCACAGGCTTCCATTCCAAAAGCAATTCTCAGGCTACCAGGAAAGGGGTAATTCGAAAGACCAAGTTCTTCATCAAATTTAATGTTCAATCCAGCAAAGTCAATGCAACACGTATATGCATTGTTAAAAACATTTTTGTTTTTAAAACTATTAAAAACTATTTACTGTTCAGGCTGGAGAGATGGCTCAATGGTTAAAAGCACTGGCTATTCTTCCAGAGGACCTGGGTTCAATACCCAACACCCACAAGACAGCTCACAACTGCCTGTTAATTCCATTTCCAGGAGACCTGACACCCATGGCAAAAAATTAAAAAACAAAAATCAATGCACATAAATAAGTACATAAAAAGTGTTTACTGTTCAATAAACTCACGAACACTATGGAATGGATTCAACCTGCCATCTCACATGTCACACAAAGCTCTGTTTGCTAATGGGATCCTTTTCTGGTGGGGGGAGGAGGGGCATTCGGTACCTCATACTTTTGAACAGTCTCTTCCCCTTCCTGGATCATCACGTTTCCTTCCTTTCTACTCTAGCAGCTACCAGTAAACTACTTTTAACTCAAGGTCTTTCCCGCTTTACCAAAAAGCTGTTTGGCCCTCTTGTCTTCTCTGAAATGACAGATCTATAAGAAATCCCTTAAATACAAGCATATGTAAGTGTATGTGTGTGTATGCATGTATAGTCTATAAATGGACAGATATAGTCTATATGTATACATACATACTTCACAGATTTTTGTGTGATCTATAATATATTGATTCAATTTCTCAGAATGAAAACTGACTTATCTAATAACAACCACTTTGTGCTGCTATGAACATAGTTGAACAGATGTCCTTGTTGTATGAATGTTCATCTTTTGGGTATATGCCTGAGAGTGGAATTGCTGGATCTTGTGGTTGACTGATTCCCATTTTCCTGAGGAGTCACCATACTGATTTCCAAAGTGGCTGTACAAGTTGGCACTCCCACCAGCAGTGGAGAAATGTTCCCCTTTCTCCACATCCTCTCCAGCATAAACGGCCATTGATGTTTTTGATTTTAGCCATTCTGACAGGAATAAGATGGTATCTCAGAGTTGTTTTGATTTGCATTTCCCTGTTGGCTAAGGATGTTGAGCACTTTCTTACGTGTGTTTCAGCCATTTTAGATTCCTGTATTGAGAATTCTCTATTTAGTTCTGTACCCCACTTTTTAATTGGATTATTTGTTTTTTTGTGACTAGTTTCTTGAGTTCTTGCTACATTTTAGAAATCAGCCCTCTGTCAGATGTGGGGTTGGTGAAGATCTTTTTCCATTTTGTGGGCTGCCATTTTGTCTTGCTGACTGTCTCCTTTGCCTTACAGAAGCTTCTCAGTTTCAGGTGGTCCCATTTATTAATTGTCAATCTCACTGACTATACTACTGGTGTTATATTCAGGAAGCAGTCTCCTGTACCCATTCATTCAAGGGTACTTCCCACTTTCTCTTCTAAGAGGTTCAGTATGGCTGGATTTATGTTGAGGTCTTTGATCCCTTTGGACTTAAGTTTTGTACATGGTGATATTTATGGATCTATCTGCAGTCTTCTACATGCCAGCATCCAGTTATGCAGCACCATTTGTTGAAGATGCTTTCTTTTTCCATTGTATAATTTTAGCTTCTTTGTCAAAAATCAGGTGTTTGTAGGTGTATGGGTTAATATCAGGGTTTTCAATTCGATTCCATTGGTCTACCTGTCTATTTTTGTGCCTATACCAGCTGTTTTCATTGCTATAGTTCTATAATAGAGCTTGAAGTCAGGGGTTGTGATGCTTCTAGAAGTTCTTTTATTGTACAGTGCTGTTTTGGCTATCCTGGATTTTTTGTTTTTCCATATAAAGTTGAGTATTATTCTTTCAAAATCTGTGAAGAATTGTGCTGGGCTTTTGATGGAGACTGCATTGAATCTGTAGATTGCTTTTGGCAAGATTGCCATTTTTACTATGTTGATCCTAGAGATCTTTCCATTTTCTGATATCTTCTTTAACTTCTTTCTTTAAAGATTCAAAGTTCTTACTGTACAGGTATTTCACTTGTTTGGTTAGTGTTACCCCAAGATATTTTATGTTGTTTGTGATTATTGTAAAGGGTTATCTGTTATTTTCTCGGTCAGCATTCTGCTTTCTTGATGTGATAAGCTCTGACAGCTTTCTAATTGTGTGCTTCTGGAAGTGAGATGTAAGAGCAAATCCTCCCTTATAGACTGTCTCTCCATATAGAATAAGGTATAGCCAAAAGAAAAAGAAATCTCAGAGACTGAAGTGAGGGACAGGGAAAAGGCACAGGCCAGTATTGGATAATTCTAGAGAGTTAAGCTGCAGAAGAGGCACATGAGGTCATCACCACTAAGGAATTCATTTTACTATTTGTGTTCTGAGTTACCAAACATGTAAGTATCTCTTATGCTCTACCCTGGAGCCAGCTGCCTGAGAGAGAGGTGGGGGAGGAGGGAGGGAAGGAGAGAGGGAGAGAGAGAGAGAGAGAGAGAGAGAGATGAAGAATTAGACTTCCATATTGGTACACCAAAGAGAAACCAAATAAATATTTCTCAGGAGATATTAATGGCTGGAGCTTAGTGCCAGAATACACTTTATAACCCATCACTATCACAGAAAATGTCATAAGGAAGGAGTATCATTATTAAAAATATCAGAGTTCCTAAATCAAAAAGAAAATGAGGGAAATAAAGGGAGTCTTGACTTCATACCGAATTCCTAGCACAATTTCAATTTAGCCTTTTAAACCTTTCAGAGACCCCTGTCCCCTCCACACACACACACACACACACACACACACACACACACACACATACAGAGAGAGAGAGAGAGAGAGAGAGAACACACACACACACACACGTGCATAAGCCTTGCTCACTTAGAAGAGCTGTAATTTAACATTTGTTCCTGGCCAAGATGAGAGAAACACAAGGCAAACAGGATTTCCCAGCTGACTTGAAATGCTCTGAATGTGACAGATGTTTGAGTTTTACTTGCCCATGACGCAAATGTGTTCACATTAGTCACGGCCATCCTCCATCCTCCCTGAGTCTTGCCTCTAGAGGTCAAGGCAAAAACCTCCTCTTTTTCAATTCAATGTCTGTCCAAGTGGCTAGGTAATCCATGCATCCTCATTGTTTGGCCATTGGAATTTGACATCTCTTCAGAGTACACAGGCAAATGATGTTCTCTGGGGTTCTCTCCCTAGAAGCCATTCTACACAGGACTGGAATCCACATATGCTCCTTGCCCCAGGCTGTCATGCTTTGTCCTCTAGACATGGAGTTATTGCCACTGTGTCTCTCCTAGAAACAGCTCTGTTGCAAAACATTCGAGTGCTTAAATAAATTACATTCTTCTCCCCTTCTAGGGACATTGGATGCTTCTCTTACAGTTACTCAAGGTCATAAGACTAGTTGTATGGGTCAGGAACATAAATCACATGGACCACTTTTGAACTGATGTATTTAATTTCACGTTCGAGACTTTTTGGTGCTTTCTTCCTGAACTCTGATCATCATCAGCCTGTCAGTGATGTGGATAGTGCAACAAGACAGTGGTACCTGGGTCTAGATCCACAATGGACAAGAGGAATAATCCCTTGTGATAATAGATCACTGGGATTTGGGGATTTGGAGTTTGTTATCACAGCATCACAGCAAATATATATATTTGCACATGAGTGTAGTGCCTGTGGAGGCCATTAGATCCCCTGGACCTGTACTTATTGGCAGTTGTGAGATGCCAGATATGCATACTGGGAACTGAACTTGGGTCCTCTGCAAGACCTGTACACAGTCTTAATAGCAGTGCCATGTAGCTATTTAGTTTTAGCATACAAACTTGTGATACACAAAGTTCAAAATAAAGGAATTCTAGATTTTATTGGCATTGTTAGTAAGATTGTATATTTCTTTGTATGTTTATTGATCATGTGTGTTTAATTTTTTAAACCTATTTTTGTTCTGTATCAATTTTTCCCCTGGGTCATCTTTTTCTTATTGGTAGGTAGAAGTCCTTTATAGATATCGCATGCCAATCCTTTATCCATTATAATCATGGCAATTATCTTAATACATTTTAAGTTTGTCTTTTACACTGTGTTTAAGGGTGGGAAATATTTAGTTTTT